GTCTGCTGTCAAGCCTGTCCAGTCGAGCCTTCACGGGATCGCGGGGAACGAGCGACTTGGGAGGCTGAGCTTTTCGCATAGGTGGTTCCAGTGATTCCGATCGCTGAAGCAGAGGCCTGCGTTGTAGTGACTTCTTCATCTCCTGACTTTCCTGTAGCAGGAGCGCCAATGCCGTCTCATCGTCAACTTTGATGTCCTCAGGCTTGATCGACAGACGGCGTTCAGGCGACCTGGTCTTTGTCCTGCTCCTTCGCCTGCTCCTGTCTCGTCCACGCCGGTCCCTTTCACGATCGGGAGTCCTGCTACGGCCACGACCACTGCGATGGCGACCGCCGCGATCTCGGTCATGCTCCTCTTGTAGGCGACGCTCTCGCTCAGCGTCTTCTTCGCGGATCTTCTTGAGACGGGCTTCGCGGCTCTTCTCATGCTCTTCTCGCTCCTTCTCGTGGCGGAGACGCTCCTCTTCTCTCTCCTTGTCAATTCTCTCTCGATCCTTGCGTCGGCGCTCTTCGTCTTCCTTGTCGCGCTCCTCACGCTCCTTACGCCTGCGCTCCTTCTCCTCTTGTCGCGCCTTCTCACGGGCTTCGTCCTCTTCCTTCTCGCGGCGCTTGCGCTCTTCCTTCTTCGCCCTCTCCTCACGTTCTCTCTCGCGCTCTGCCTCCAACTCCTTTTCTCTCCGGGCCTCACGCTTCTCTCGACGAGCGTCTGCTTCTTTAGCCCATTCCTCTTCGCTCTTACTGCCTCGCTTCTCCTCTTCAGCAGCCGCCTCGGCGCCTATTTCGGCAATGCGGTACTCGCGCATTTTCGGTACGCCATGCTCATCGATCAGTTTGTCCAGCAGGGTGTTGACCGTGTTCATAATGTTGCCATAAATGTCGCTGCGCTCACCCGCGCCTTCTATAAGTGTAGTCGCCATTCGGGGATCCTTGGACAGCAGCGAGGGATTACGGTCGGTTTCGCGGTCGACGAGCTCCTTGAGAGCGGCTTGCAGTTCATCCTTAGCAGGCTGGCACGCGAAGGTTAGCCTAGCATGTAGTAATAATCAATCGTTGGCCACCTACTCCTGACACATATTGCTTCATCAAGTCTCTGCGTATGTCGTCGTATGCGCCCTTCTTACGGAACATGTGCACCAGGCTGTCGATGGCCGATCGCTTCGCCTGGGAAAGCGGGAGTTCCGATGGCCTCAACTTTTTGCGCATAGTCGCAGCTCCATCGCTTTCACTTGGGCGCTTACGGCCGACTTCCGCCATGGTTGATTTTACGTGATTGCGATCAGTCGTTTTGTGTCGTTTGTGTTGCGGCCCGGCGCATGAAGACGGGGGTGGGAAAGGCTGGCGAGCAGCAAATGACGTAGGGGGCTAGGCTGGTGCGCCAGCTCAAAATGGTAATAGTGAATGGATTGAAGAGCGAAAGCTAAAAAGTGAGCGACGATATCAGGAGAGGCGCGAAAGCGGCATTGTCGCGGAGGTGAGGTCGGCGGACGTTGGTTCCGCATCCGCGTGGGTGGTTCGTTCTTGGCGTTCCGGAGCTTGACGATGGAGCATCGCAGCCCAGAAACCCAGTACTGGTACAGCGGTGACAACGCGCCCTCACGACACCCGCCCCAATTGCTGCTGCAGCACAGAAGGAGTCTTCTACACCGACACAACATCCACGACTATACCCGCTCACCATGGTCCACAAGATCCTCTTCTGGAGCGGTTTCGGTACGTCCCCAACCGCCCACGCATACTCCAAGGGCCTCTACTGACGACATATATCAGGAGTTGCCGCCCGACTATGGCAACTCGGCATTGAGATGCGCCCGCTCTTCAACAAGGAATCCCTCTGGGTCTATCCCCTCTACGCCGGCGCCGGTGGCAGCTTCGGCTACTGGCTCACTGGCGTTGAGAACCGCCAATTCCGCCTCCTAGCCGACCGACGAGACGCCCTACTTGAGAAGCGAGCGCGGAGGAAGGAGCGCGAGGAGGCCGCTGGTACCTCTTAGGCGGCCGTGGCCTGCAATGGCAAGAGACAGTGATGTGAGGGGTAGGGGAAGCTGGGACTGGGCATCGCACACACAGCCAGAGCGTCTTCTCAACCACAATAGGACTGAGACTATCATGCGCTACTTCCAGCGCCCATGATGAGCGGATATGGGTATGCAATATGAGCGGGGTTGGATGCGTGTTGAGAGCAGCCTCTACCATATCTTGGCTGGCGACTCGTTCTGTACAAATTTCATTTCAAACCAACTACAAATGCAAAATCTCGATTAAACACCTATGCCAAGTTGTGCTCAAAATGCGAGATATTTCCTAGTTGCGTAACGCGTGACACCCTAATGGATTAGTGCATGACTCCTGCCTCTGCTATTCTGAGCTCATGGAAGGGCATCCACCTTTGCGAACACCCTGTCAACATCACCATGACTTGATAAATCCGCGCCACGACCCATGTGGTCAACCATCATTGCACGCATCTCGTCATGTCTGCCGAGAACTTCCTTTCGCCCAACGGCGACCACGTAACGCCGTCTCCGCCGATGTCCAACGGCAACCTCAAAAGCAAAGGCATCGTTGTGTTCTCAGGCGGAAGCGCTGCGAACAATTTAGTCGATGTGTTTAAGAAAGTTAGAGAAGACAAGAGATGCCCGCTGAGCTATGTCATCCCTATCAGTGATAACGGCGGCAGCTCATCTGAGCTGATACGCGTCTTCGGAGGTCCAGGTATGCGCCGTCTGAGGCAGGAATAATACAACACTGACATGAACAGGTATCGGTGATGTGAGAAGTACGCGAATGTTCTTCGAGAACAATGACCTAGATGTTAACCTTTCTAGGTCGTCTTGTCCGCCTAATCCCGGATGACCCCGATCACGATGACAGCGAGAAGGCAGCTATAAAGACCTTCTTCAACCACAGATTGCCCAAGGAACGGTCTTCAGCTCGACACGAGTGGCTGCAGATTGTAGAGGCCGAGCATGCACTCTGGACAAACATCTCGACGGCGAAGAAAGAGCTTATACGATCCATACTCAATGTTGTCGCATATGAGATCGTCAAGCGTCGCCGACCTTCATCTAGCTTTGACTTCTCGGGTGCGAGTATCGGCAACTTGTTTCTTACTGGGTATGTAATTGATGCACTACAGCATTGTGCTTTTCCCCATCCATATGATCGATCAATTTCCGATATGATTGTCTCTGTCACCTTTATCATCGCGTATCCTCTTCAGCGCACCTACCCACATTAAGCTCCTCGAAGCTGACACTCACAGCGCTCGACTCTTCACTGGGTCGTTTGAGTCAGCCATCTACCTACTCTCCAGCATATGTTCTGTGCCCAGTCATACATCAGTCTTACCCGCGATCAACACCAACTTCACACACCACATCTCAGTCAGCCTCGCAAACGGCGACACCATCACCGGCCAAAACTCCATCTCACACCCGTCTATATCGACAGCCCTGGTATCGGGAGGTGCACCAATAATTGACGAGACCGAACAGCACGATCGAATCGAGGATGCCAATTTACCCGGATCTTTACCAACTCTCCGGAAGCAGTACATTACCTTCTCTAAAGCGGATGAAGAGGAGCTGCCAGCCAGAATCGAAAGGCTGTGGTACATCAACCCCTATGGCCAGGAGATCCGGCTTTCCGCGAACCCAACGGTCCTTAATGCATTGAACGACGCGCAGGCTGTCATATACAGCATCGGCTCGCTCTACACATCAATCATCCCCTCGCTGGTCCTGAAGGGTATCGGCGAAGCCATCAGCAACCCCGCAATCCGCTACAAGATCCTCATCCTCAACTCGACCATCGATCGCGAGACCGGACCGTCATCTAACCCCTACTCCGCCGTTGACTTCATAGCTGCTATCGCGAAAGCATGCGAGGATTCCAAGAGCGTGTTTGGGCCTCTTGACAAGAGTCAGTACAAGAAATACGTCACGCACATCATCCATCTCCAAGGGCCAGGGACGCCGGCAGTCGACCGCGACGAGCTTAAGAGTATTGGCATTGAACCTATTCGCGTGTATGGGAAGAAACATGAGGGTGAGAACTTTGTTAGGTATGATGGCACGGCTTTAATTCAGGCGCTTGAAGTTACGATGGGGAAGAGGGATCCGAGGATGCCTAGTCGACGGAATACGTTGGAGGGGCCGGCGAGGTGAATGAGGATTCTCTTCCCTTCACGAACCAAAAGTCGGTGGAGTAATTCGTTTCCGATAGCTGGTGAGGGTGCCTGGCGGTCTTTGTTGGTTTTATATGTGCCAAGCAGGTATCTCTACATCAAGCGCAGATCTTACTCTTTCGGGTCGCCCCTTCATCCCGTCCCTCTGTCGTGCCACTCCAGACTGACCTATGATGCATCGCAATCTACACGGCTATAGTTTGCTCGCAATATTAGGGACGCGAAAGCTCCCATTGAAAGCACCTATATCTGGTTGCTAGCCCCATAAACTTTACCGGCTTTTTCATTGCATAGACTTTAACAACTCTATCACCAGCAAACTGTCATGGGCACCATAGTTTCATCAATCTTCTCACCCGAGCCTTCGAAGCCAGAATCTCGACCTCCTTATGAAGGCCCGAATCGATACCCGTATGTGCGTAGCGGCCAGCTTGTCCCCGTCGAAGCGAATCCCACCATTTGGTACGAATGCTTATTCGAGGTTGCGGACTGCGTACAACACCAAGACACGGACAAAGTCATCATATTTACCCCCATCTGCGATGAAGACAACGGCTTCTATCCAGACCCCAGATCGAGGCATGGCTGGCCCATCAAGCGCTTGCGAAAGGCGTACGAGCTCCTCGGTGGACCACACCCGCGGATCGTGCAGTACGTATGGCTCTGCTTGTGTACTTGGTCGCGCTCAATCTTTTAGGTATATCGGCGCGCTGTACAGCACTTCGGGTGATGGTATAGTCGTTGAGAGGCTGGAACCAGGCCAGCTCACGAGAGTTGAGGTGCCTGCAATGACAGTGCCTGTGGTAGCGCAAACGATGTCGCACGACGATAAGATCATGTTATCGCTGTATTACCGGTGGGCGATACAGGCACTCTCCGCCTTCCGGTTCATGCATGCTAGATCCATGTGCATTGGGTTCTTCTCATCGCAACTCGTGTGGATACGCCCGGACTTCTCGCTCGCAGTGGGTGGTTTCATCAGCGCTAGTGCACAGGAGATAGAGGATGAGCTCTGGAAAGATACTGATGAAGATACTAAAGCGGCCCGACGAGAGGCTAGCTTCATAGATGAAAATGGGCGAGAGATAGAGAGCACCGCTAGCTGCGGTTGGGACGAGGGTGAGTGGGCAGCGGACGACATGATATATGATATGGTACATCATGAGGATCCTTTTGATGAAAGTTACTACACAGGAGGTGTACAAGGAAGTGTAAAGGCAGACCTGTGAGTATGCGCGAACCACGGTGTACGCACAAAAGATTACTGACCCTTATCTTCACACTCTAGCTTCTACTGGGCTACATTCGTCTGGCGACTCATGACGAACGACTTCACTGCTGTATCGCCATCGCGTCGTGGGCCTTTTCGTGGACTATGGGAGCCTGCATGGCCCATGGAAGGAGGCTACAAAATCGAAGACTCGCCAAATATATCCAACATTATCGATGAGAGAGAACGGCGCAAACTTTTCCAGCAGCTAGAGAGAGCTAGATTGGGACATGTCCTGGTTGGCGCTTGGAATAATCGATATGGCAGCGTGGATGAGGTCATTCGTGATATCGAGTTGGCAGCAGCCGAGGTGGGCATAACCATCTCTGGCGACGAGGTTGACATTGGTGAGAAGTGGGAGGATGTTTTCGAGTTCAAGGACGGGAAGCTGGGTTTCAAAGTTAGATCTGATTAGGATAAGCTTGATGGGGCTGCCAAGCAGGCATCATTGGCACGGTTCACGAGGCGCGATGGCGCTTGCCTCAACCGGCAACACCTGGGTTAGTGTATATAGATGCAATGTATCGCGATCTTTTACTTTTAGCATCCTTTCTCGTGCTGCATAATGGGCTCGGCAATTTCATATCTTAATGGGCCACTGCCCCCAGATGAAGAACGAACGATTGCAACGCAGTCGCCATATTATCCCCCCGAAGCCAGCATAGAGCCAGAAGACACCCGACGCTGGTACTGTGATTTCTGGCAACATGCATGCGCAGTACCTCACAAAGATGGGAAGAGCATCATCATCTACGAACCGAAAGATGATGATACAAGGGCTAGACCAGAATGGGCGATCAAACGGCTACGGAAAGCTTATGAGCTGCTTGGCGAAGGGCATCCAAGGATTGTTCGGTATGTGTAGGGCTTGACTAGCGCTGTTATGAAGTTAATGCGATGGTAGGCGTACCGGCCTTGTGTACAGTGACGCTGGCAACGGAGTGATCGTCGAAAGACTTGAACCAGGGCCCCACTGGGGTGATCTCCCTGCCATGACTGTGCCTGTTCCAGAAGAGCCTTCAAGAGAGGACCGCATCATGTTGGCCTTGTACTATCGGTGGGCCTTACAATCGCTGTCCGCCATTAGCTACCTCCACTCTCGCTCTATATACCTGACGTTCTTCTCGTCTACCAATGTGTGGTTGCGGCCCGATTACTCACTGGCTATCTCAGGTTTCATTAGTGTTGATGGGCCAGAGCTTGATGCCGATAGTAGACGAGACGCTTGGAAAAAGGAGAAGCGGTACGAGAGACGGGAGCGAAGGGTCCAGAAATGGCGTGCTGCCGGAGCTCCAATCTCAGAATATCCTAGAGACGAGAGTGAGGGCGAGAGCGAAGACGAGAGCGACGATATCCCGGAAGACTTTTCCGGTGGTTGGGATACTTGTGAATGGGCGGGAGATGGCGGCACTATATACTACGATGACTATCCCACGGAGTTTCCTCGAACGTGTGGAAGTCATCGTGAGTCCTTGTGAGTGATTATCGCTCTCGCATTCGTCAAGGCCTACGCGTGACGCTTCGCTAACTGCATGATTTTGCCATAGGTTCTACTGGGCGACCTTTGTCTGGGAACTTATGACGAATACTCACACGGCCGAAGCGCAGTGGAAACGGGGGATAGATTGGGACCCGTTCTCTTCGCCTGACGGCGGCCCGCCGAAGCCAGCAAAAGATTGGCGTGATCAGCTTCAAGTGTTAGAGGAGGCTAGGCTTGGAAGTGTCTTGCTCAAAGCCTGGAAGAGCGAATACGAAAGCGCAGAGCAGGCTGCCGAAGATGTCAGAAAAATCGCGGAGGAGATGGGTATCAAGATCGTCAGCAGTTCGTCGGAAGTTGATGACGCTTGGACGAACGTATCCCAGCAGGATGAAGTTGATGTTGGCGAGCCTTGGGAGGACATTTTCGAACTAGACGAAGCCAAAGAGAGGTGGGGCGCTCGAACGCTTAGGTTCAAGCGGCAAGGCACGCATGTGAATTTGCCTGTGGCAGGATAGAAGCCAAGACTAGGGCCATAAGCCGGTCATGCTTGTCGTTACGTATCGGGCGCGCACTTTATCCAGTATGCATCGTGTTCGAAGACCCCGTTCTGAGGCGAGAAATATCCGTATCCTCCTCGGTCGTGGTCCTTCAGTACCCTTCATGCATGATTGCAAGCGAAGCAAGCAGTTGGTGGCGACACGTAACCGAACCAGGCTGCCATCGTACTTTTCTGAGGCTCTGCGGTGCTGGTTATGTGACACACCATGACACCCCCGCGTATGCATTGCATATCGCCCGACGGATCAACTTGTCAAGAAACATGTCTCTGGCTGCTGGAAGGTCATCCCAACATGCTCTCATCGGATCGTCTAGTGTTGATCGCAAGCTGTCAGTCACTGCTTCGGAGTGTGTAACCGAAAGCGTGATTAAGATCGTCCTGTAATGCCACGCCATCCTGCCTCTGCCGCGGCCTGCCGGATGTAAGAGCTTGGCTGTCGAAGGATCAATGTGGCGGTCAAGGCAACGATACCGAGTCGGCGGAATGCTGCGTTCGCGCAGGGTGGTAGGCAAGCCGTGATTCTCGCCCGTGTCTCAGACATGTACGTACCCGCAGATCGTACCAGCGAGATGCTGAGCCTCTCAAGTGCCGTGTGGCTCGGAGAGTAATTTCATACCGATCAAGATATTCCGTGCTTCTGGCGCGCTTCAACCTGTTCTTCAGCAGATTTGTCGGTGTCAAGCCTGGTACAGGATTGCATCCTAGCTCAGGTGGCTGCTTGCGGGCGCATGATTCCTAATAGAACGCACTTGTGTGACTACTTGCTCGGGCCGAGACTTGGTCTTGCTCTTGCTCCTCAAACCACAGGAGAGATGGTTCAAGCCGACATATCCGGTCCGAGACACTGATATGGAGGATCTTCATGATAGAAGTGCATGAGCGAGGGCGTGTCTGCGTCCGGTGAGCGAAGATCAGGAAGTGTAACGATGTTGTATATCTATCGCGGCTACTCGTAAGAGCTGCAGCCGCTCTCACCTATTAGAACCGATTCTGGAACACGGTTGTGGTGTTGCAACCCAAACGTGCATAAGGCTGCGTGTCAAAGATGTCATCCAGCCGCGTATATGCATGTCATGCGCGGTGGATCCGGTGTGTTCGATAGGCCTCCAAAAGCGATCGAATCCGCGAGCTTCCGGCAAGAAGGACATTGGTTGGATAGAGAGCTGAAGATTGGAGGGCGGCACGAGGTGCATGGAACATGGAAGGGCGTCGAACTGCAGTAAATAGGTTGACAGCAACGCAATGTGCAGTAGTAGATCGACGCTGCGCGAACGCGCGCTGAGCCGCACCGAAGAACGGTCTGAAGTCCATGTTGGAGTGTAGGCGGATTAACATCGGCTGGAAAGATCGAATCGCACTGCGACACACCAAAGGGCGATGCACCAGAATGTTTGACATACGACAAGCCCAGCAGTGATGCAAGCGGGGCTGAGTGGTATAAGTGCAGTCACAGATAAGGGGTATACATGCGCATCACCAGGTACAGCTACCAGTGACTGAAAGACTTCGGTGTAACCAGCGGGTTCTTACCTCGACTTGTGGGTGGTGATTGGAGGCGTTGGCCGAGCGGAACGAAGGGCAAGCAGGCGGGTTGGACGTCAGCAGGACGCTGTCTCAGCCATCGATGGTCGTTACTCAAAGAAAGGGTCCTCATCTTTCCCGTGCACCTTGCGATGGTGGCTTGTAGTGGTCAGTTGCCTTGTTTTGGCTGGATCGCGGCGAAAGGGGGTGTTGGGCCGTGCATGGACCAAAAGCGGGGTCATGACGCCCCGTTAGCGTGGTCAATCAATGATCGCTTCTTCCGCACAGGCATCATGAACGTTTCTCACACCTCGACGACTTCATGTGTTCAGCTCCACGGAGGGCAGGCTAACAAAGCAAAAATTACATCAATCATTCGCCAAGATTCTCAACGATTGCAGCTGTAATGCATATGCGACCTTATCCAAACACCACCACCATCAGGCTGCATGCAACAACAGGCAGCCGCTATGAGTCCTCAAATATGCATGCGCATGGCTCATGCATATTTGATACGATTTTTAACTGGTCCGGTCAAAGTTGAGCCTCAAACTCTGTAGCAACGAAGCTATGCTGCGCGTTCACGCAAGAGGGCGGGGTTATTTGCCTGTTTGTCCCCCTCAGCCTGGTGGCTTAGACCGGTGAGAGCCTTGATATCACCCTCAAGTGGGGCTTGCGAGTGCCCTTCGATACGACCAATTAACGCTTGTTTCATGTATACCCCCGGGGAAACGACTGGATGTGGCTGTTGTACTCCTAGAGGGACCACAACCTCGCTTGCATCAACAGAGTGTTACTACTGCTCCGGGCAAAGATCAAGAGCTACAATCTTGCAGTATGACAAGAAATTTCCCAATCTATATCTTCGGTCAACGTCCTCCTGTTTCTGCCTTAGACTTTCTAGTTCGCCCTGTCATTCACTTCCCGTGTCTTCATCACATTGCTCTGCCTGATTCGATCATCGGCATCAAGTCTTCCGTCACTTGAGCATCTAGCCATCGGCTATACTTCCTTCGTTCAAGATATCCCTCCCATAACCTCTACGAATCATTCAATGGCGACTCCACAGCAGGGACAGTACCAGGGTCATGTACCCCATCAACATCAGAATGTCAGCCAACAACGACAAGTCCCGAATGGGCAGCAGCAGAGCTCTGGACAACAGCAGAACTTTGGACAGACTCAGCAGAGGCCAGCTCAGCCCCAACAGCAACCTCTAAACCCATACGCCAACTACGATCCCCAATTGGCTTCCTTCATCTTAGAGAAGCCAAAGAACGCCACTTCCTGGGAGGATGCCACACCTGAGCAACAACATGTCGCACTCCAGGAACTCCACAGCGAACTGCACAAGTTTCGTCGAAACCATAATAACGTCAAGAAGGCGATGAACGAGATCCCTTCCCCAAACTGTCGCCGAATCATCAACGAGCTCGTTGAGGACCAGAACGTTGAGCTTGCGAGGTACAATAGAACCATTCAATACAGAATTGCAAGCGTTGTAAACAAATGGCGCTCGGTCAACCGTCGAGAAAGGCAGCTGGTGCGTGTAGACATCATTCTGGAGACTGAGCCTTCTGGGTTTCAAGAGCCTATGCAAGCGAGACCCGCTGTCGGAGGTGCGGGCAATGGACCCCAAGATGCAAACAAGAACAAGCAACCAGGAAACCCGCAAGGTCAACAGTTCCCGAACCCGTCTAACAACCCCGGCCAAAACATGCCACAGCAACAAAGACCTCCCCAACAGCAGCAACCACAACATCCTGGTCCGCAAAACTTCGGACAGCATCCCCCAAACCCGGGCCACATGAACCCAATGCCAGGTCCTGGAGGTCCTCCTCCTCCACCTCCGCCTCCGGGGATGCCTGCACCACACGACATAGGTCGTCCACCACCCCCACCGCATGGTGGAGGGGGCCAACCCATACCGGGCGTGCCACTGCAGCATCTTCCGCCTCCTCCTGGCCAAGCCCATGGCCCGCCCTTTGGTCAAATGCCAATGCCTGGTACGTTTCCGGACCAGATGCATATGCCGCCGTTTGGCATGAGGCACGTCCAAGGCGTGAATCCTGAGCACCTCAGACATCACAAGAAAAACCACAGGGTTCGTCGCGATATTTCCGGCTCATCGTCCGACAGTGACTCCTGGGAGTCTGAGTCGGAAGATTCCAGCTTTGTCAACATTGAACATGATCATATAGATGTTGATCGACGTGGACGAGGACGTCAGCGGCCCGGCAAGAGATCGAAGAAGACTCAGAGACATCGGTCACTCAGCAAAGCTAGAGCCCTCAGTCGTAGTCGTAGCCGAAGTCGGGCACGCAAGAACAACGTTGATCCATATATCGCAAAGACTACCCGTCGACACCGTACTTCAGACATAATCGACGATCAACGCAATGGTAGGCATAGCCCAGAGTCCTTCACTACCGACTCTTCTCGGTCTTCTCACAACAAAGTGACGCCTGTTCACATTCACCTGAGTACCAACAACGTTGTGGAAGACCGAACACGTTCCGGTAACACCTCACCAGTTGGTCTCTCCAACGAGAAGAAGAAAAGATCAGGAAAGTACTTCCCCTCCCACGGCATGGCTAGGGAGACCTCCAACTCATCGTCAGAGCGTGGAAGCGGCACCGAGTCTATGAACACTACATCTGTTCACACAGCAGATGATGGTATCTTTGATACTCCTATACGCCGCCGCCCTTCTTACACGCACGTTCATCGTCACCAGAAGGTCTCTTACGGAAGAAAGTCGCCAAATATATTCGGCCAGCCGCACTCCAGCCATATCTACGACGAGGACGTTGACCACCGTCGGGTACAGAAGGTTAGATACCACAAAGAGACAGTAGACGACTACCCACACTCCCGAAGCCCACGCGCACCCATGCATGAGCCAGAGTCGTACTTCGACGACTACCCAGTCCACACTACTCGGCCAAGCCTGCCAAACCGCCGCGCAACCATGGCCAACCCACCCAACATGCATAATCCCTTTGCGCAACCACACTTCCCACCCAAACCAGTGCGCGCCTCATCATACCTCGCGGATAGACACGAGCCAGGCTACGGCTACCCCCAACCACGCGCGATTGGAGACCAAGACGAATTAGATGCGCGATACGCACTCAACGACATCCATGCGGCTCTTGAGCACATCCAGGACAAGAAAGAGCGATCGGCTAGACGCTCTAACATGATGGGCAGGAGGGACTCAGCTTTCCAGTATGAAGATGATGAGTGGCATGCTAGGGTGCCGTTGAGTGGGCGACGTGGAGGTTATGGTGGGTACTAGGTGATAGGCATGGTCTACTTTCTCGCTTCTCTTCTCGATACTTGTCTTTTTTAGGAGCGTGTCGGTTCTTCGGCGATACGTTCTGGCTGGTGTACAGCTTCTACTCAACTCTTCACGCGGGGTTCTTCGGCTAGGGTACAACATCACAGCGTCATGAGTCTTTCGTTTTTGGATAAACGTCTTGAATATACTATCTCAATCTACATCGCATACCCGCATTGGTTACATTCTCTTCAGCATGACAATTTGATACCGAGTGAACCAAGTCCACTAGCCCCGATCCAGCTAGGACGGTGTGAGCACCTTTCTTAGCTCTCTTCAATCTCAGCATGGATGCTGCTATCCTTCATAATACACTCACCATACACGGCGAGTAATGACTCAAGATTAGTCTTTGCATAAAAGTGATTTTCAACGAGAAGACCACTTCGAGCATAATACGCTGCTTCTTTGTACTTTCCCTGCACGAAGTTGTTGTCCGCGAGCATATTGTATCTGGATAGGACGAATTAGCATTGCACCAAGAGCATGATCGGGCCCGAATACTTACGCAGAGGATAGCAACCAGTCGCGTACGCCCAGTTCGTGCAGTAGATCGACGTAAATGCGAAGCTTTGCGCAGGATATTTGACCTTCCAGATTACTATAGGTGGAGCACAAAGTTCGCTCTGACGCGTCCGGCTCGAGCGCAGGCGCACATGCTTTGCAACTGCAGTCGAAGCCCCATCCTAGCATCAGTGCTGCTTGGCGAGCATCCCTGCTCTTTTCCCAATCTTCCGCGATGTAGTTGATCAGGATCTCTTCACCAGCGTTGATCTGTCGTGTAGCAACCAGTCGGGCATAACCTTTAAGATCTGCGCCATTCTCGTCGATGTAAAGTACTGCATTGGGGATGCACGAATGGTTGGCGAAGGATATCGTGCGATAGACAACTAGGCGGGTGTGCTGGATACCTACACCGGTATAATCACGGAAGTTGAAAGCGTTGTACCGACAACGATCTACAAGGTGCTCGACGTCTGTAGCCCTGGTCTTCGAAGTGTAGAGCTTGTGGAAGGCTTCTCGATCTTGCCAGCTTAGCTGTGTGTATGCGGTCGTCAAACGCGCAGTAGTTTTGTTGACCTCTTCGTCATAGAAAGCGATGACTTCCCTATTCTGCTCCTCGGGCTGCTTGCGTGTGTCGCATTGGAAAAATGCGTTTTCGTCGAGAACGAGAGCGCCTTTCTTGAAGTTTTGCTGTGCGACAAGGCCATTACCCGCAACAACGTTAGCATTAGTGACCCGTACCTGAGGATGATTTGTTGCCATGTTTATCGTGTAGTTGACGACTTTTGTCCGTATGGGTGATGTGGGAAGTCTACCAAGGGACGTCAGATCGACCCTTATATCCCGTCAGCTGTGGCAGTTTGCTGATCTGGAAGCATAAACAGGAGTCTGGTTTGAGAGAGAATCATCGACACGCTCATTGTTCAGGACGAAATACAACGAATGATCATATGCAAACACTACATAGGCTTGATTGAAAAAGGACCCATGGCTGCCTTGTTGTACTCCTCAAGCAGCCTTTCGTCCTCCTGGTGACACTGTCCTAGTATGTCGTTCAGCTGCTGATTCCAAGTAGCGATGAAGAAGTTCTTCTCGACGATTAGCCCTGCGTGGGCAGTTTGCTTTGCCTGCGCGTAGTCTTCCTTTCCGAAGTAAAGCCTTGCGAGTTCTAGGGATCTGTTCAAAAGTCATCAGTGGTGTAGTCATGAGGATTAAGTGATTTGACCTACGCTTTGGATAGCTCTGCATCCCACCTACCCAAAGAAGTAAGAATTTTGATGTAGCCCTCCAGGTTCATGATGCTGTGATTCTTCTGCTCCTCGGTTATTACCGCTGCCATTGCAGTGATGTTGGTCTTGTATGCGCTCGCCAGGTTGCGTGAGATAGTATCCATAGCGGTAAACGGGTGTGTACACCCGTTGCATGAACACGTAAATCCCCAGTGGTGATTAAGTACAGCATTTCGAGCTACATGATCGCCAAGCCAGTCGCGTTCTATGTAATTTACAAAGACCTCGGCTCCGTCTGGGATTGCTTGAGTTGCTACGAGCCTTGCTTGGCCTTCCGGAAACAAAGTGCGGCGGGGCCAGATTTCGATGGTAGCGTTTGGAACACAAGAGTGGTTGATGGAGCTGATGTCTTCATACACTACCAGGTGTGTTTTGTTATTGCTGGCATTCACGAAGGTGAATGCGTTGCGTTCGAAACGATCGACGTATCGATCGAGTGTAGAACCATGGGCTGGCCGGGGCCAGAGCGTACGTAGTGTTTTTCGCTGCTCTAATGTAAGATCGTTCACAGCTGCATAGATGACAGAAGTTGCATGTACTCGTTGAGCATCATAGAAAGTGTCGACGGTCTCCTGGTCGGACCACTGGTTTTCAGTACTACCGGTGTTGCAGAAGACAATGGGGTCTTCCGTGAGTATGAGGTCGCCCCGTCCAAGTGATCGATTCGCAAATAAACCGCGCCCTCCGAGTGGGCTGTTCTGGGCTTGATAGTTCATTTGGAACTGCTGATGAGGTAGTGTCCGTTTCTGGCTGTGAAGCTCTACCTTCTGCTTGTGGATGCTGCATTATATGTGCTGAGCACCGAGACAATTCCATTGTTAGCAAGCAACTTTGTGTTAGACTCCATGCAAGACATGAAAGTGAGATCAAGACACATGTTCGAGAGCAGATGAAGTGACGATACCTAGGCAGCTCATCTGGTTTGCGCGACACCGCAGCCGCAGTGGCCGTGCAAGGCCTATTGTATTTTGTGAACAGAGTCCAGATCTAAAGATCCGCGGGGTAATTTCGTATACCAGAGTCAGTTGTGTGATAGCGGTCTCAGGCTCCGCGTTGGTGCTGCGGGCTCAGAAAAAGAAGCACGTCATGCACGCGTCCTCACATCGCTTGCTCGCCCGCTTGTACCTGCCAAGCCATCAGGGGCGCCATGTGGGGTATCTCCACTCACGCGCGCCTCCAACGCTCGCTAGCATCCATTCACAAAGCCATCCATCGACATCACCCAAAAAAGCAAGCCCCCATCGCGCGCATCAGCTGCTCACTTTCTACCCTCTAGCCTGCCCAAGTCCAATCCATAGATTCACCGCGCCAGTCTCGCATCGCACACAGGCGGCAATAGGACTAGGCGCCACTAACTTTCGGGCTCGCAGCCATGTAGACACGAGAACACGAGCCCCCATCCGAAACACGTCTAGCCCCACGGAGATGACCATGCCTCTGGCCACGCTGACTGGGCGGCCATCATTGGGCGGGTTGCGGGAGAGTATTGATATGCTTGTTCTTTACGAGATCCTTCTCTTTAGGGGCGGAGGGCCAGAACAGGCTGACGGGGCAGGGAGTAGAGTGAATGGGGATTAAAAGTCTCTGAGAACCAGTTTTCTGGTCCTACGTGATGCGCGCGCGTGTGCTGGGCTTCACTTTCCATCGCGGTCGTAGTCGTCGGTCGATCCTTACTTTTAACCCTTTCGCTCTTTCCTAATACCATTTTATTATCTTCGTCACTACACGTTCGAGGTTCCGCCAGCATCACTATTGAGTTTCACGACTGCCGACTGCCGTTACTAGTGCATCACAACGCGACAAGTTGGGTAGCAAGAAAGAAAGTATGAAGGTGCTCGTTGCCTTGTTTGGCCTGGTGGTCGCCGCGCTTGCGCAAGATGCCTCAACCTCAAGCTGTAAGTTTGGTCGACGGCAATAGTTTTGCATGTAGTATGCCTGGAATCTCAACTCTAATCAAGCATCCGATGTAGATACCGGCCCAATGTTCGACCCGGATACGGCGCCTTTCTTTGGCCCTAGCACCATCGTCTATCCCTCCGTCACCGAGTCCGCTCCGGTACTTTCAAACTTACCGACTCTCACACCTTCCGGCAGCACAGTCATGATCTCCATGTCTAGCAGCGCTATGGCCAACTCGACCCTCTCGACTTCAACGCTGTCGCGCAACTCTACAACCTCGCATACCTCGACACATTCGTCGACACACTCTTCTACATCGGTCAGGACTTCGCGCACGCCGACTCCTACAGCGGATGAGACTTCGGCAAGTGCGTCGGTTCCGGCCGAGACGGGCGCAGGTGTTGCGAACTACCCTGAGGCATTTGGAGCTATTGTGGGAGGTCTTTTAGCTGGATTAGCGATGCTGTAGCAGGTTTTAATATCTTTAAGTAGAGAACAGGCGACTGGAAAATATATGCAGTATGCCATGAGAGCCAGTCGTGCAGAGGTCTAGCGAAGTTGAAGACCAACATAATAGGGTATATTGTGATGTGCTCGTGGGTTGACTCGAGCTTTCCGTCAAAGTCATCTAGCATACTTTTCCCTGGTCGAACCGAACGCCTAAGAAACGCCGTCATAATGCAACTGAACTAAGCTGATTTCGCTTGTTTTTACTCCTCCATAGCTCCAACCTCTGTAACCTGCTCAGTCGCCTTGGTGTAGTAGGCCTTGAGGTCGATCTTGAAGTCCGCCATGGCCACACCGAACATCTTCAGCAGCGCCGTTTGATGACTGTTCATGACCTTGCCCTCCTCCGCGATGGTGTACGGCGCATCCAAAATGATCTTGCCCTTGTCGAGCCTCGTCGGCATGCCCCATTTCCTGATGGTAGTCTCCATGCTATGCGGCAGCGGCACATCCTCTTCTTCGGGAATCTCTCCGCCTCTTGAGTGGACTACACCCGCGGGTACTGTGAAGGTCTGTGTAGCGACAACGCCGGCGCGCGCAAAGTCGGTTTGCGAGTAGTTGGCAAAGTACTCGATGACTTCGCTGGGCTCGCGGCTGGTGAAAAAGAGTCCGACATTGCCGTTGAGGTGCTTGGTGAGCTCGGAGAGGTTCGAGAGGTGCTCTTCTGCTGGGCTTAGGCCAAGCGCTTTCGCCATGACTTTGGTCTTTCCGAAGAAGAATCTGCGCATTCGTTAGCCATGCGCGCATTGGATGAAAGCGCTCCCGCAGACATACCGGCTGTCTGCGAACTCCTGGCGGACCTCCTTCAGGTACGAGTTGCGCATGTTCTCTACGGCGAAGACGAAGATGTGCTCAAAGTTATCCGCCGCTTCCTGGACATTGGCAAAGAGCTTCAAAGACAGCTCCTTGCCCTTCTTGTCCGTCTTGGTAAGATGCACGACCTTCTGGCGCTTGGATTTGGGCATGGTGGCGGTATTTTGGGGGGTGTTGTGGTTGGTGGTTGCGCTCAGGAAAAAGTTCGAAGTTGCGGTCGCGACTTCCAAAAAATTGAGCGGGGATTTTGGCGAACCCCCGATTGGTGCAACCGCGGCTGTTCCGCTGTGGATCCAGATGTCGCTCTCACACTCTCCAGAGTCTACGCACTCAACCTCACCCCAGTCCGCTCGAGATGATCAATCGAAAACATAGCGATGTTGGATTTCATGGATAGTGTGCAGCATGCATTCTACGAGGCATCGGGCTGGAACGTCGACAATTCCTATGGCGCACTGAACGCGTCCGCACGAGGTACGTCACACTGGACGTCGCGTTCTGGATTGGATGCTGACTCTAGGTGACAGCATTGCTCGACTTTGACATACCCCGTGGGCTGCGCATGCAAATCTCCTCTCTCGCCGCCCCCAATTTCGCAACCTCGTACACCCTAGGCAGTGTGGGGGTAGTCGACGGCTCAGTATCCTACCTTTACTCGTCGCTGCCACTACGGAAGGACTTTAGGACGTCCCACATCGACCTCCACAACGTGATACGAGGCTACAAGCATGTGCAAGAGTTGCGGAGACCGGACGAGAAGTGGTCGTGGGAGGTTTGGCATGCTGGCCGCCGGATAGACCGCAAGAGTGAGCTGGATGACACTGCCTTACCGTACCCCCGCTGAGTCGAGACAGACACCCTGTTGTATGGGCGCATATTCCTACCACAGCAGAGGCTCGAAGCCCTGTACCTCCGCCGCCTCACTCCTACGCGACAGCTGAGGATCGCCGCCGTGAGCGACTCCAATCTCAACAACGGCGGGACGATCCTGACGCTACTGCAAAATGACTTCGGCAAATACAGCACGGAATACATGTACAGCACAGACTCGGCGTTGATGGGCGTCCGGGGTCTCTACAACTTTGGTCCAGGCCCCAGAGTTGCGCCCGCAGAACCCGTTGCTGCAGAGCAGGTGGATCCTGTGCATGGTCGCTTCAGCGCAGGCGCAGAGCTGTACTATGGCATACTCAACAAGAGCGGGGGAATCAGCACAGGGGTGAGGTTCGCCACCCTACCCAACCATGCGGGCTTCCCGTATACCATGACGCTCACGCTCAACCCGTTGATGGGAAATCTCTCTTCCACGTATGCTGTCAAGGCCGGCCCTAACTTGGCCCTGTCCTCCCGCTTCGACTTCAACTTCTACTCGTATGAAAGTGAGCTGCAGCTCGGGTGTGAACTCTGGCGTCTACGCAGCACGACCGACGTAGATTGGGCGGTCAAGAAGTTGCGTCCAGATTGGAAACGCCCAACAACTTCTGCAGATGACGATGTATCCGGCGTGCTGAAGGCTAGAGTCGATCAGGATTGGCATATCGGAGTATTGTGGGAGGGCAGAATCAAGGAGCTGCTATTCACTCTTGGTGCGAGTCTGGACCTGAAGAAGAGAGAGCAAATGCTCCGTTCTGTGGGTGTTGAGCTGCAGTACTCCTCATGAACGATAACACGCACAGACGGCAATATCCCGATCGTTAAAGAAGAATAAGTATACCGTTTACGAAGGAAGGATGCACATCGGATCGACTGCCGAACTGACTCAACCGGCCCAGCCCAGGGTCGTCGACCACTGTACTGTTCGTCAGCGGTTGTTCTAGAAACGCGTCTCCCGCACATGGTCAGGGCATCAAGAAATGTTTCTAGAAGACGATGGCGTCAAACAGTGGGACGCAAACGAGGGCCGTGAGAGCCTTACAGTATCCATGCGAGGGCGACCATGTGTTTTCTGAACACGACATATATTGCAGGCTAGGGCTCGAGTAAGTAGCGAAGTGTGCATGATGGCGTAGTCTGGTCCCGAGCGGTGTAACGCTGAAACAAAGTATGGGGATGGACGCTGCTCGTCACACTGCTTCGGTGCTGTTTGGACGTGTTTTCAATGCAGTGGCACGATTCGCAACATTCTGTTACACTTGACATTCTTGAAGGCAAACGGTGGTTGAGCATGCAGAGACGGATGAGGGACTTCCGCAAGTTGGGGGTGCAGGTGGACTGCAGATCCGGTCGAGGCCGCGCTCGGCGCGGGCCATGATGTTGTTGGTGGGAGTCAGTTTTCCGGGTTGGTGGTTGTTGTCACTCGCTTGCCGACGCGTCCACCATTCACACCGCCGTGCCTGGCGTAAGCCTTGCAATTAATGGTGCAGGGAAGCGATCGGTACTATAGATTGACAGCTGTAGGGCGACAAGACGGGCGACGAGCTAAGCTGAGTCGGCACTCTCAAGATCAACGAACTATTGCGGCTTGCCAAATGTGAACAATCTCGATTCCGTGGCTTTTTGACCGAGCGACGAGCGTGTCAGGATGGGAGCGATTAGACGGCACGGGCGCCGATGCTCGTCAGGATCTTTTCTCATGCTCGGCTTACCCGAGCGATCCGCACGAGGCTCGCGATCAAGTCTTCACGATACCGAAATGGGCCCTCTGCCGCACACTGTCAGCACCAAGAATGCGGGCGCGTACGGCGATGTAGGCCAGGTGCGACCGACACAGACGCGTGCCAGGAATACTTTGAACGCCCTGCCGGTGCGCCTTCTCGCTCACGCTCACGCCCACGCTCGCAGTCACGCTCTGGTGTGCCTTGCCCGATCGTTGCCGTAGTGAGCACTCGAAGACGCAGGGCTTCTCAAACACGACAACGGTAGCGCCTCATGCTCGCGCGTTGTTTGGCCTGTCGGAACACGCTAAAGCGGACCATGAGGACGACGACTTCGCGGCCTTTTTTTTGATAAACGAGCACCATTCATGCGCGCTGTTCTGACAGGTATCGCGATGCGAGTCTGTTGTCGCGGCCAGCCTCGCGGCAAGGATTGCCCTATAGGCGGCGGCCTCCTGAGTCTTGGAACAGAGCCTGTCGGTCGACCCTTGCTGTCACGTCTCTAGTGGCGCGACTCCGAGGTACCTCGCAGTAGTCCCCCTGATCGGAGCTATTGCGGGCAGCGCGTGCAGGCGGGCAGAGAGCACGCCGCACGCGCACCGTCGGATGCTGGTGCTGTTGTGTCGTGGTGTAGAGCGGAGGAACATCCGGTCAGAGTGTTGCGACGAGCATGGTTTGCTTCAGAACATAAGCGTTTTGGTGCGTCACCACTGGTCTCGCGCCTCCAGGGCGGGCGTCGAGCGGTGGTGCCGTTGGGCTAAAACCGTCTCTCTGGCCAGCTAGCGCCCTGCCCAGCCTAAGCTAGCCGGCGCGCACCTTCCCCCCGGCTTCAATGCCCCTTCCCTTAATCTCCCCTTTCCCAACCACGGTCGCTCATTTACATCCAAGGCCCTGCTCCTCTATCCGGATTCCTATCGTCACCTTTGCTGTCGGTGTGGTACCTACATCTTTCTCTTTCTCTGTCGACTTCTGCGAAGTGCCGCCACTCCTTTCGGCCTTTGCCCACGTTCCTTTCTTCACAACCCTCCTTTAGGCTTTGTCTGTCCGCTCCTTAGCACCTCTTCCTTCACTCTTGTCGACTTGGACTCGCTTTCGGACGATCCATCTGCTCCCCGGCCAGCAGCTTCCTTCACCCTTGACCCTTCTCACACGCGCCTGGACGGTGTCTCGAGCTTCTCACACACGTGGATTCTTTCTCCCGTGACATTGAACTCTTACCAGCTTCGCATAGCTCCACTATCTTCACCCACCACCATTGCTTGGACCATTACTTCACGACACTTTACGAACCAAGATAGACTGAGGTGTTAGCTCGATTGCTCCCTCTATATCTCCGACCCCGCTTCGAATCGAGTCCAACTCTCGCCCTCCGATCATCCCCACCACCCAACATGCAGTCAAACGACGACGCAATGGTCTCGCCCACGCCATCTCCACCGGCGTCAT